TAAATTATTTGTTTTAGGTTGCATCTACTAGCAAGCACTCTGCATGGCCGGTCCTCCTCACTTTGAATGAGCTACCTCTACATTTGAGAAGGAAGTTTGTTTTGATGGCTTCAGTATGGCTGGGCAAAAAAAAACCTGACATCAACCAGTACATGAAGCCCTTTGTCGAAGAATGTCTTGAAATGTACCACTTTGGCATAGATTATATGGAGAATGGTGTCATCAAAAATGTAAAGATTGTATGTCTCATGTGTATAAGTGACTCAGTTGCCCGGCCTTTACTCCGAAATTCAAAGCAATTCAATGGTAAGTGCACTTCTATTTATTCCATACTTCCTCTGCCCCTCTTTTTATCAATTGATATTTTTATTACTTTTTCAGGACGTTATGGTTGTGGACTTTGTTGCCATCGGGGTTTCCGTTTGAGGTATGGCAGAGGTAAAATAACATCTTACTCCCTGTGTAATGGTGAATTCCCTATGAGGACCCATGAAGAAACCATGGAGTTAGCAAGAGAAGGAGACAGAACTGGAACTTTTCACATGGGTATCAGAGGAACATCAATTTTATCAAGCATCCCTTCCTTTGATATAATACATTGTTTGGATCTGGATATATTCCATTGCCTTGTAAATGTTGCTAAGCGTTTTACCAACCTGTGGATTGGTAAAAGAAGAATCAATGAGCCCTACAATGTTCGTACTAGACTTGCTGTCATTGACCGTCGCCTCTTGGCAATCACTACAATAGATGACATTTCTCGTGCTCCTCGATCGTTGACTGAAAGATCTGACTTCAGAGGCCATGAGTGGTTTCACTGGATAGTGTTTTACAGTTTACCTGTAATGATGAACATTTTGCCTCCTAGATATTTAAACCATTGGGCTCTCTTAGTTCATGGGGTGGTTTTATTAATGCAAAATTCAGTAGCAAAATCTGAGGTGACCTATGCCAGTCGCTATTTGAAACTTTTTAATGAACAAATTGATTTGTTGTATGGTCGAGTTCATGTCACATTCAGTGTTCACCTGTTGACTCATTTAGAAAATAGCACAGTCAATTTTGCTCAGCCATGGACACATTCTGCGTTCATTTACGAAAGTTTCTTAGGTGAGATTAAGGCTTCAGTTAAAAGTGGCACTGGTGTAGCTCAACAAATAACCAAGCATATGCAGCTGAGAATAGCTTTGCAAAAGATGAGAGCTGACCTAGAATTTGCTATGAGTGATGAGGAAAAGGAATATCTTACCAGTGTGATGTCTAGTAGTAAAACTCTTGCAAATCCCCATCTTGTTATTGGACCAGTATCATTATTAGGAGAACCTCGAAGAATGACTTTGTCTGAAGAATATAGGCATGCCCTTGTAAGATCAGATGTTGCATTTGATCGGAGTAAAGAATATCCTTCCTATGATAGATGTATAGTTAACAATGAACTGTTTCAGTCTAGTAATTATAACAGAGTGAAAAGGCAGGTAAATTGTGTTGTGCTTCTTGAATCAAACAAGGTATTTAGAATCCAATCTTTCATTGTCATATCAAATGTTTGTTATGCTATTGGCCATTACTTTAAGGACCGAAGACATGTCAAAGTTTCTGACAGAGCTTTGCCACACTATCGAGTGCTAGGGGAAAATGAGAATATGTTACGATGCATCCCTACCACTCAGTTCAGCATGAAACTGATTTCATTTACTGTGAAGTTATCAGATGAAGAAAAGCTTACCTTAGGATGTGTTAATGTTTTAAAGATGGAAATGTTAAATTAATTGAGACTTCTTCACTTTTAATCTTTTTTGTATAGATACAATTATTTTATTATTCTTTGTAGTCTTTCCAGCAACTTATCTTCTGAATTGAAACAGAATTGTAAAACTAAGATTGCAATGTAATTTTAACAAATTTCAATGTTGAGATTAATATTATGGATTTGATTTTTTAAAATGCATCTGCTTTTTAAAACTGTCTAATATGGAGTATTTCAGACTATCAAAAAATAACTCATGTGCCACGCATTTCAATGTATTATAGTTAGAGGGACAAGCAGAATGCAACACATTTTAAAAGCACCAATAATTCTTATATTGTGTATTCCTGATTAGTATTTAAAAGAAATATTTGTTTTCAAATGTTGACTGAATTCACGTTACTTGAATCTACCTTCTTTATAATTGTGATACAGGTTGCCATTAAACCGAAAAAAAAAAATCATATCAATGTTAAAATCAAATCACCTCAAATACTCTCCTTTTTTCACCCTGAGTTGAATGATCCTGTTTTCATACATCTAGAGCTACAGTTAGAATATCAACAGTGCATGTTCAATGCTTCATCTTAGTTAACTATAAATATGGAGACGAATCAAACAAACTTCTTGGGGGTACAAATAGTGCCTCCTGAGAATGTATTAAATCTTAGATGGTTTAGACAGTTTATGAAAAATAAAATATGTCTAAACTATTTTCAAAGAATTTTAATGCAGAAATCAAATCCATTAGGAAAAAAAAAACATGAGTAGACAAAATAGAAAAATATATCTTCAGGCTTCGGAATCAGAATCAGCATCTCTCTTTCTCTATGGACAACATGGCAAAGCGTCAGAGCAGAGAAACATACCACACAAAAATCAAAGTATTACACTTAGATAAAATACTAACTTTTCGTTGGACTTCGTTTTCCAACTGTTGTAGTTTCTGAAGTAGCTCATCTTTCTCGCAGGAACTGCATGGTGGGCTCCTGTCAGCTCCTACTTCCTTCTCGACTGCTTCCAAAATTTCCATACCATTTGGGAAATGAGCTAATGCCTTGCGGTAAATGTAACAATGCCATCTCAAATGCTTGGTATAACTTTTAAGGGCAGCAACTTGTTTTCGTAAATCTTCATTCTATGTAGAAACATAAAGTTAGGGGAGCATTAATATTATGTTCACCAATCAGAAATATGTGATTCTAGTTCTAGTCATTATTATTATAACATAAAAAGCAAGTTTGCATATAAGACTCACCTGAAATTCATAGACTGAATCAGTCAACTCCTGTGTGGAGATTTCCTCCCTTTGGGCACTGGCAATATCCAAATCCATATCCTCCAAACACAGCAAACTTCGCTCTGAATCTTAAAGAGTTACCTCCTGAAACAGGTGAAAGAACATTAATGAAAACTAATTAGGTATGAAAGGGAAGAGAGAGAAGGCTAAACAGTTGATTTTGACCATGTGAAAGAGAAAAAGAAAAGAGAACTTGGTAAAACAGGTGTAGGAGAGGGAAGAAAAAAAAGAAATAATGAAAAATTATGTGTTAACTGGAGCCTGGCAGAGAATATTGACAGATGTAGACTAGATAATCTAAACTGCTTGAATATCCCTGCCTGGCTGCAGCCAGTTATCAAGTGGGCAGTGGCATATAGGGTATAAATATCATCTCACGCCTCATCTGTCACTAGTCTGACTCAAGTGCCTCGCGTGCTGTTGTCATTGTGTGCCTCCCTGTCTGTCAAGTGCGTGCGGTCTCTCCTCGTGGTCCAGCTGATCGGCTACAGTTCCTCACTTATTGCTCCTCGCGTGCTGTTGTCGTCGAGTGCCTCCAGCTGAACCTGTCTGTCACCGTGCAGTCTGTCCTCGTGGTCCAGCTGATCGGCTACTGTCTATTGCTGCTCGCTGAGCCCATCCATCCGGTATCGTACTTCTCTCTCGGGAGCCCCTGTCGTTGTCTGTGTCTGCCTAAACTTTGAAGATATGTCAAAGTCAAGGTCAGAAAATGGACGTGACAAATCCGGTCGCGATCTCTCAAATCGTACCCGTTTGACGACCCCCGTGCCCGAGCAACCACCCCGGCAAAAGTTGGCTTGCATTGAGTGGATCAATGAATCACCGGATTCAATTGATTTCACTCACAATGTCCCATTAGAGTGGGTAAGGGGGTACTCTCCAGATGAGAAGGACGAGAGTTATGTGGTCGAGTGGCGTCAAGCACCAAAACCTAAAGGTGGCTGGCACTTCTACGATGGGATCATTCATGAAGTCAGTGGTAAGTTGGTTGATATTGGCATGGAATTCTGATGGCAAAAGGAATAGGATTTAATTCATTTCTTGGTATAAATTGAGGCGTACCTTAAGTGATCCATTTGCCTACATTGCTTTCTTTTAAATTTCAGAGGATGAAGAATTTCTCAAGATTGTTATGATCAACCTCAAGAGAACCAAGGCTAAAGCTGGACAGTTCAAAGATATTCCAAAATCAGCACCTCATATTGACTCGCCAGGTAAGATTTCAGTTTGCACTGGTTGGCTTTACGTAAGTGAATGGTTCATTAACATGTGTTGTTTTAGAATTTAGGCAAATGCTTGCTGCAGCAGTGAAGGATGCTTTGAACCAAACACCTCAGCGGTCAAAAGAGACCAGGGAGGCCAAGGAGAAGGAGATTGTTCATTCTACTCAAGCTGAGAAGGTACAGAGCTCTGGATTTAGTTGCCAACAGAAACATTTGTACTGACCTTGTAATGTATTAATGATTTACTATATTTCCAGGTTCAGGTCGGCAAGTCCTTGCTACTGGATAAAACATCCTACAACATCGCTCGGCTAGCCTCCTCTCCTGGTCGGATGGTTGGCATTTGCTTGCGTCAAGCCTTCAGCAGGCGAAGGCTGACAAAGAGCTCGTATGCTGGACAAAGACGAACAAAAGATGGGATGTCAGTTACAAAACCATCGTTGAAGAAGTATCAGAAAACTCAAGATATTCACAGTAAGTCAGTGTTCAAATAAGGGTAAATTTCTTTACAAATTCAATCAAACTTAACTATAATTTTGTTCTAGATTTTGTACTGGAAAGATTTCCACACCTGACTCAATCGGCATTTTCTTCAGCGGTTAACTCTTTCTTGGGGGAGAAAGCCAACCAAATCCGCCAAGTATCAGTAAGTTACCTGTCTTTAACTATTTGTGATGTGTTAACTAGTTCTCTTTTTAATTCCCTTCCTTTAGTATGTTTCAGAAAGTGAGAGTGAAGTGGATGATGATATGGATTAATTTTGCATCTCTTGTCTTTTATTTAATGGGACATGTTAAACCATGTTTAATGAATTTCAAAGAATCTGGCTAAATTAAATGAGTAATTTTATACTAACTTACCTGAAACATTTCCTGTTTTATTTTTAAAATCCTCGAACTGAACGCTGGCAGTGGTTTGGCAAACACATTTTTCCTCGGCCCAGTCCAAAACGATTGGAAGTCATGGAACAAAAAAGTAATTTACACAGACCAAATCAGAACTAACTCAGACAAATATAACAAATACACCCACTCACATTTAAGAAACATCTTGAATGTTCTTGAGTGATGTTATGATCTTTTCTCTCACCTAAGTTCAACAAGTAGACTTGACTGCTTACCCTCGTCCTCGTCAGGGTATTGTAACGTTGCATGCCAAATTGAAGGTTTTTGTAGGAATTAATTATTACGGCGGTTGATACATGATTTGTTATCATAAAGTACATTCTTTGGAACTCTTCTTGTTTTTTTGGGCTAAAGTACACGGTACGGAAGGTTAGGACACCCAAAGCAGAGGACAGATGAGTAGCGAAATTATTCAAGATGGCGTCGGTAGGTAAACAACAATCAATCCGTCTGCTCGTCTTGTGCTCGCGTCTGCTGCTGTCCATCAGATCAAAAGTACAGCAACTTCGAGAGCGTTATTATAAACGTTTTAAGTTTGAAGCGTTTGAAGAAACCACAACTTTAATTCTAACGTGACTTTGTGATAGACAGATCTCTCTCTGTGGAAATATCGGAGACGTAATGCGAGAGAGGATTGAGTCGAGTGTACTAAGTCGGCTTCTCTTGGGAACCTTCAGTTACCTTCAGTATGTAAATCATGCAACTATTAGCACTGAATTGGTTTGAGGAACGAAGATTTGATAAATTATTATTAATAATAATGTTTTTTTAATCATTTTGACAGTTTGCTGTTGGCCTGGTCTCAGAGTGAGGGTCAACCATCAACCTCTCGGACACCTAACCTATAGTAGGTTATGGGATGCCATATTCTCATCTTATGGTAGGGAAATCAAGGCTTTAATTTTACTTACAAAGCAATTGCAGATTCATAGTACAGATTCGTATTATTATGCTCATCAATTTGTGCATCGATTTTATATAACCTTGAATGTATTTTTGATTTCAGATATAATTGCTTGTACAGCTCCCATCGGCTTTTGTTCGTCAGCATTTATTGTGCAGATTTCCTTATCTTATGCTGATATTTGATACATTATTGAAGTAAGTACAGCAGGGGGATCCTGTTTCTGTTGTCTTTATTGCATTGAATATATTATGTAGCTTAATGATATTTTATTTAATTCAAATCTAGCATTGATGTCAACATTTACGGCAGCACAACCCTTGGGGTGCGTTATGCGGGCCTTTCTCTATTCGCCTATCATTGCATCAGAACCACAACGCGTAGGCAGAGTACAAGTTCTGCTCTGATTTGAAATGTAAGTCTTCTTTGAAAACATTTAGTGCATGTCAATCAGGGAAGCTCGAATGCAAGGTTGAAATGGTAAACTGATGTTTCTTTCTCTCTAGGTCTTGAACCAAAGAATCAATTGACAAGGTCATTATTGTTACAAAGGATATCTTGAATGCAGCAAGGTTTCTCCTGTATTTCAGTCAACATTAATTTTCTTTTGTGCAATGAGTTACAATGAGTACAGTCATCAATAAATCTTGAAATAACCAAAACATTTTTGTTGCTATTTAAAAGTTATCACATGGGGCCTGTACTACAACTACAATCTTTATTCCTGAGGCAACTTCTACAGCATGATCAAGGATGAATGCAGAACAAGCACAGACATAAGTTGTTGTTTTCTTTGGACGAAGCATATTTTTTTTTACAATCGGACTGGCAGTAGAACCTTAAAGTAATAGTAAAGTTTTCTTGCAGTGTGACTGTAGCAAACCTCAAATTAAACTGTAGTAAAACTGTGGTTTAAGTGGCATTAAACTGATACAACTCTGGAACGACTTATGGAAAACTAGCAGAAAACTGTAGTTTGTCCGAAAAAAGAGGTACTTTTCCAACAGTTAAACTATAGTTTTTTATTCTTTAATTGTAGTTTAAGCATTCTTTTTTATACTTTAACTGAAGTTTCAGAACACACAGACTCGAGTATAGCCACACTCTGAACACTACTTCTGACTTAGACCCACCTGTATTCTGGCTACAATTAAAGTGCAAAAAAAGTTCAGAAAATGGGTGTAGTTTCAAGTGCAGATCCTTCCACCCGGGTTCACTTCTTTCACAGCTCGTGCCGCGTCGCGCTCCTAGG